AAGCTGATTTTTCAAGCACTCACAGGAAAATGAGAGTGTTCATGCAGAACTGATATAATATGTGTCTATCTTTATCTATGTCTCTGCCTCTATCTCCTCTCTATCTATGTAAATGTATAGATACATAGATTTATATATAGGTATACACGTATAGATATAGACATGGATATGGATATAGATATAGATACGGATTTGGATTTGGATAGAGATAGATCTACAGTGCCAAGCTGACCACATGAAGCAGATTACACTACATAAGATGTAAATAATACACATAACACCATAATATGTGGGAAGGGCACCACAATTATTAGCAACCAATCTAGTAGCTGCCCATTAGATTCAATCATAAAAGGGAAACATTCAAATTTCAGCTGGATTTCAGTTTTCAAAGTTGTACATTAAAAACACATTTAGTTTTTATGTAAAATTGTATTTCCTATTTCAACATGGTATTTTTATTAGTATATGATTTCAGTTGAAAAACATTACATTCCTCATGGGATATTGGTAAATGTATACAACACATTTTAAATTAATATATGTTTAATTTTGTTGTTCATTTCTATTTGGGACTTTATATAAAAGACATTGTTTATTTTTCTCAAGCTGTTTGTAATATTCCATTCTTCTGCTGCGTTTCTAGTACTTTGATTATTATATGCCTTAGCGCATATATATATATATATATATATATATATATATATATGTATATATATATATCATGTCTATTTGGAATTTTATGCACTTTATTTATTTATATGTCAATTTTGTTACCCATGTTTTACAAGTTTTCTGCCATTATTTCTGTGAGGAAGTTTTTCATGTGGTTGTTGTGCAGCCTCCAGTTTTGTCTCTGACTGCAGTCAATCTGACATTGTTCTTGGCTTTATCATATGACTATTCGGTTGATTTTTCATGGTTTCTTGCTCTTTTGAAAATTCTTTTCTTTTTATGGCTGTTTTCCTCAAGTCTCTATTTTAGATCTGATATGCTATCTTCCCTTTCATTTAATCTGTCATGTTTACATTCAATACTCTTTTTTAATGTTCAGAATTTCTGTTTGAGTGTGCTTTATGGGTCCTGTTTCTTTCCCATGTTGAGTACTTACGGTTTCCATGAATTCACAGAACTCCTCCATTATTTCAAATGTGCATTTGCTTCCATGTGTTCCATTTTGATGAACAGTTTTTTGCAAATCAGAGACTATTATTTGCATAGCTTCTTCCATTCATTTTTTTCATTTCCATTGTCATCATTTCAGAAAATTCCAGTGTTTGACTTCCAATCTCTCCTGCCTCATTGTGCTTTGAATTTATCCTCTGTAGGCTTAAGGTCCAGGGTTGCATTTTGCTTTTATGACTTGTCATTTTCTATTTTCATATTTTTATTTCATTTTGTTTTCTATGTGGATGCTTGTATATTCCGTGTGCATGATAGCTTTATCCCTAGTATTGAGGCTTCCCTAGAAAATGTCTCTTTCTCAAGGATGTCTTCTAGATGTAGATGGTTCTTGATCTTTGTGTATTTCCCAAGAATTTACTTTCTCATGTACTGAGGGTGACAAATTCTGTCTATTTGCTTCAGTACCCAGAACTTTGGTAGTGGTTATGACCGCATAGAATTATACAGTTATCATACAAGTGAGAAAGGTAACTCCAACAGGAATGATATGCTGGCTATCATAGTACAGTTAGGAATAACTATAGTCTCAAGCACAGACTTACTACTGGCAAATTGTGGTAACTATCAACCTGATAATTTTAACCATAGGACCAAATTCTACATTTAATAACAAAATCTAATCTATACGTGGCAATTTTACGTAATGATTTTCTTCTAAGTGTACTTACTTTTGCTGTGTTCTGTGATGGGATTAAGAAGCATGGGGATAAGATAGAGATATGAATGATGTGAAATACAGTAGGAGCAAGGCTGGAGGGCAAAGACGGTGGCCCAAGTTTTGAGTAACTAGAGAGCACAGGAGGAAACACAAGAACAGGAAGAAAAGGAGATTTAAAGTAAATCAAAAAAGAAAAGACAATATTTACTCTGATGAAAGTATCATATAATCATATGAGATATTGGAGAAAAGCAAGAAAGAAGATAAGTAGAGAAAAATAAAAAGAAAGATATCGAAAGCACAAAAGAGAAAAAAGTCAAACAACAGAAAGCAGAAACACAAAAATGAAAACAATATAAAACAAAATGAATAGCAACAACAACACCAACAAAAGAAAGCTTCAAGTAGACAAAAAGAGGAACACCAGTCAAACAAACAGAAAGAGAAAAGTCCTAAAAGTCCTCCGGTGTCTACATTTGAGGCAGATCTAAGTCAGAGCCTCAGAATGTGTTGTGTACTCATGCCAAATTTGCAATAGGAATTTTCCTAGTTATGGGGCTGATATTCGCCTCTGGATTTAGAGAATGGGGTTGCAGCAGTTTTCCCAGAGTTGTGTAATAAAAAATGGTGACCACACCAACCCCCTTCTACTTTGCATATCTGTGTGCTGAGGCACAAAGTAAATTCACAAAATTTACCAGCTGTTGGCTTGTTCTCATGGTGGCCTTGGGTTTTTCCTTTACCCTGGAACCATCTGCCCATCATGTGTACCTAGTTCAATGCCATGCCGTGTTGCTGGCATCCTGCCTTTCCTAGATCAGCATGTGTACCCCAGCTGGGGTCTTGCTGTGTTACTGAGATCTCATTTCTCAGTGGGAGGTTGCATATGTACACAACACATTCCTATTATGCATCCTTTATTTTATTTTTATTTATATTTTGGGCTTCATAAGAAAGAAAAGCCATATGATATTTAATCATGCATGCTTGATTGACTTCACTGAAAGTATAAATTCAAAAAGTGTACATTTATCTACAAATCGTTTTTTGTATCAGAGTATTATTCCATAGTGGTAATAAAAGTACCACATTACCTTTTTTCTCGCATTTGGATATCAAAGCCATTTTTAAGATTTATCTCTTAAAAATTGTGGTACCATACATATGGGTACGCTACATGCAGTGAAGGCTGTGTGTTGTAGTGGGCTAAGGCAGCTCCCTACCCACCACCTCAAGATTGCCTCCAAAACCACTCTTGTTCAGTGTCCCTGGTATTTAGGAAGGGCCATAAAAAGCAATGATAGTGGCAATGAAGGCCCTCTTAGTACCATATGAATCCAGAACTCCAGGCAGGTCACAGGTCAACAGTCCATGGTTGTGACCCATGCACTGAGGGATTTTGGCTCCTCATTGCTTTTCCAGGTTGCTGGCTAAGCTCACAATAAGAAAATGGTCTGCCTCAAAGACAAGTCTGGAATCAGCCACAACAGGGTCACTGTGTGACACTAACCTTAAGCCAATGGGCTCTCTAGAACAAAAAATGTGGCTAGAGCAGAAGTGTTGGTTTGAATGATCACTCAAGATTCAGATCAAATACTCACACCCTGTGACCCAAAGAGAATGGTATACAGAGTAGAAGAGTGAAGCCCCAGGGGACCTGCCTGAACCCCATTGTCACCCAGCCAGTGCTCATTCTTAGCTCTCACTGAAGCCTCAGCATGCAAGTCTGTCAAACAACCACACTGCGGCCTGTGTATGTGGTTGTTAACCTCTGACGAACTGAGAAAGAGAAAAGGGCAATTTTTGAGTGTCTTTTATGTCCTGCATGCTTTTGAAAATGGAGGCCGACCTGGGGGATGAGAGAGGATCAGGGCATGGTCTATGGCCTGTCCTATGACCCTGGGACAGCATAGATAGGGGCTGAGTGTGCTCAAAGGAGACAACATTCTGTGGAGAATGTCCACTTTCAGGTGCACCACTGACCCCTGGTCTTTACCAGGTGTAAAATGAGCCACAGAAGATAAACTAATAGTAACTGTTTTCTAACTTTATTTTTGTTGTTGTTGTTTGGTTTGGTTATCTTTTTTGTTTGAGTGTTTATTTTCTTTAGACCAAGTATTCCTCTGTATATTAGTCTTGATTAGAACCAACTATTCAGGTCACATTCACCTCCAAATGCCTTTTATCTCAGCTACCTTAGTTCTGAGATTGCAGATAATGTGGTGCAACACCTGGAATGCTCTCTACCTATGTGGGTATGTTGGAGAATTCAAGAGTCCAGAGAGATAATGGGAGAAACAAGACAATTTATTTAATTTTGCATGTACATATCGCTGCAAGCCTTTACGTTCTAAAGGTTTGAGCCTGGATCAAAGGAAGCACTGCAAATTTCTACTTTTCATGGAAGTGGGTTGGTGGCAATTTGGAAATGTTAGGGTGCAAGCAAAGTCACAGAAGTGAGACAGAGACAGTTATTTACTCAGTGACAGGTTTACAACTCGGTATTGAAAGAAGTAGATTTTAAAATTTTATGATATCACTCATTATATTTACAGGAACAAAGTTATCAGCTTTATACATATCTCTTGAAAAAGGGAAAATTCCCTTGATACCATAGCACTGGGTTGGAGAAACATAATGGCCTGCCTTAATAGTATTAGAGCAAAGGTCACTGGATACAGCGAGGAGGATTTTAGGAGCAGTTGCTCAACACTATGAGGGAAAATAACTGCTTCCCCACTAAATTTTGCTTCAGATACAGTGAATTAAGATTGCCTCCCTGCACCACACACTGGACTCACAGGTAAGATGTCACAGTATCTATGAATTTCAGCTGCTGACTAACAGGCAGTACTGATCAGATAAGAAAGAGGCACAGTGACTACAAATGTGGAGGTCTTGAACATGACAAGTATGGAGGTCTAAGCCTGTCTCTCCTGCCTCATTATGGCCTGACCTTTCTCTACATTGTGCAATCCTAACTGGTGGGGAGGGGAAAACATCTTGTCACATATTTGGGAGGCCTGTGGGCAACAAGCTCACTAGTCCTGGAATTAGCAAACCAGGGATCCTCCCACCCAAGGAGGGGCAGACTGGAGACTATAAAATGTTTCCACTTATTAGTCTCTCTAAGACACCTTCGTCCCTTCTACCACCTTCCTGGAGGGCAGTAGCTCTGAAGCCATGGAGCTGTTTCTCCTGTGTCTGCTCGGTATCCTCCTGGGGCCAACAAAGATCCAGGCTCAGGATTCTCTTCCAACAATCACCCCACGTTCATCTTTGAGCATGTTCCCCCGGCAGCCAGATTTCCAATATAAAGAGGTAGGTTTCAGGAAGAGTGGTGGATCTGTGTGTTAAAGATTAGAAAATGAACAAAGAGGATGGAGATGATATGAATGAATGCAGGGACTGTTGGGTGGGAGGACTCAGGGAATCTAAGGCCTGTGAACTTGTGGTTGGGACATCTCTTGTCTTTTCTCTCCAGTAAGAACAATGAGGTTCTGAAAGACCCACTAGTCACACAGGGTCTCTCCATGCCTGACAACTCAGAGCAAACTCATAGTCGTAATCAATCTTGTTATAAGTTTCAAACTACTGCTGTCCCCTCATAGCAACTCATTCCTTAGGCTTTGTTATTGAGTGGCAGACTCAAGGTACCAGCAGAGTTAGCATGGGACAGTGGACCTGGAGAAATCTCTGGGTTCTGTCTGTCATGAGATCCTTACAGTTGCAGGGAAAGTGGTATGTCTTGACTTCAGCAGAGGCCCCAGTCTTCAATGAAACCGACCCCGAAGGAGCATGGCAGAGCATGACCTTGGAGCTGAATGATGACAACAGCTATAATGTCACCATAGTCTGGTACAGGTAAAAGAGCCACAAATTGGGTTCAGAGGGCCATACCAATGTCATAACCAGAAGTTTAACAAACTCAGGGAAAATTTCCTTCATCTTCTTGCTTCGTATTGAGTCACTATTCCTCCCCTTTTAGCTCTGTTCCTCATACACTTCCAGCTTCATCTTCTCTGTCTTTGCAATGCTCCATGATTTTTTACTATCACTCTTTCACCCTTTCCTCCATTAACATTCCTACATGGCTGTAGGAAAAACACAGTCAGGAGTAATGTAGTAGAGAGTGGATTATTCTGGTAGGGAGGAGACATGGGCTCCCTCAAGACCAGGCCCATGCTACATCAGGAGGTATAAATGAAGTAAACTGAAAGCACTACCCTTCCTGGGATGCTAGCAGGCTTCCCCCTGAAGCTAACGCAGGAAATTCAGAAGTTTGAATTCAGCCTGTGAAAATCAGAAAATACTATCTCAAAATTAAAAATTAAAAAATGGCATTATGAATGTAGCTCTGTGCCATGGGGAAGTTTTCAAACCCTTGTGCCACTAATGTGATCATCTTCACCTCCATAAAATAAAAGAAGGAACATCTGACCCAGTAAATATTGCTGGACTTGCTGAGTCAGGGAGCTTCACCTTAGGGTGCAGCAAACCAGCCAGACATCGGCCAAGGACCCTGAGTGTGGACTGATCAGCATCTGAGAAGTGAGTGCTCCCCATTCTGAATCTGGGGCATCTGACCCAATCCAGGGCCTGGACTTTGGATCCTCAAGTCAGAGAATCTTATAATCCATTGCAGAAAGGTGCTAAAAGCATTTTGAAAAATCTGTACACAGAAGATGTCTATAGAATAGGACAGATGTAGAATCAGAGAGCAGATCATGTAGTCATCCTCAAGCAGCACATTTGGGCTCTAGTCACAGGTTTGTTTGTATCTGTAGCATTTGTAGATTGAGAGTCATGGTAACGCCTGGATCTATGGTGTATTGTTAGTTGGATTCAGGTGAGAGCTGAGTTATGGTAATGGTAACAGGCTAATGAGCTAGGTTACTGCTTGACATTCAACAGAATGGAGACTCAGGGGACATTAAAAAGGGTAGCTGCAAACTAAGTGTACTGGATCTGTACATGTGATGTGTGTGCATATCACATTTCCCTAGGGTGATAGATGAGGAGACACAGAGTGTTTAGTGGAGGGTTAGACAGGCCCTAAAGAAAGGCCATACCATGAATGTTGGCCAGATAGAAGCCCTGCCATGATGGGGCACAGGCTGTTTGAGCTTGAGGTTCAGAATCCTACTGAGGCACTCATCCTTCTTTTTGGAACCTAGGGAGACCAAATTTGTGTTCTCTCCTTGTTCACCTTGACCAATTCCACTCTTACAGCAACTCTACCTGCCTGAACCACTACGATGTTGCACTTCCAACTGGGAAGCCTGGTGTATTCACCTTTAAAAATGTAATAAGTGAGTCCTTGGTGAGGGAGGTCTGAGCTTGGTTTTGGGGAGCAGATTCTTTCCAGAAGGAACAGGTTCCCTGTCCTTCAACACAGATGTATCCTGTGCATGAACTTGATGCGATTGGGTTGGGGAGGAAGCGGAGAGTCCTTTCCACCTTCTCAGGAGAGGATGAACCTTAGCATACTCATTGTAGGTTATAAGGGATTTGAGAACTTCACTGTAAGAGTGGTAGCTACTGACTACAAGCAGTTTGCCATGGTGATGATCCAGTTGAATCCTGAAAACTTTTACTGCTACACACTTTTCATCTATGGTGAGTCATCCCTGTATCCCCTCAGCAATGTGGTTCATGGGAGCTGTAGAATGTGGCTGCGAATCTCAAGAACCCAAAGTTTTCTCCAGTTCAAGCTCTTCTTTTAGGGAAAAGTTTGTTCTCTGTACCATTTATGGAAAAGGAGGTTCTTTGTTCACTAGATTCACAGAGAATTTATGTAGTGAGCCTGGGGTGACGGGCACAACTTTCATTACAGAACTAGGTTTCCTGAGGTAGGAATTCTGAAAGTTTAAAAGCATTCTGAATGACATACCAAAACATGGTATTAAAGATTTATATGTACAGTTGTCTCTTTTGCCCCTCTTCCTGCCATCTTGGACACAGGGAGGACCAAGAAGCTAAACTCTGAAGTCATAGAACGGTGTCGCTGTATCTCCAGGTCTCTGGGACTCATTGATAAATTTTTCTTTGCTGAACTCCAAGGTAAATATGAAATAATGTGAATGGAATATTGGGTGTTTAGCTCTGATGCCACTGCACCAAGGAAAGGCCACAGCAGATACACATCTCCCAGTCTCGTCACTGGAGTGATGATGGTTTCTTCCATGTGTCCTCAGGTCTGTGGGCAACAAGTTTTCCCTGAGACAGTATAGCAAAGGCCACCCAGATGGTAGTTTTGAGCTCAGGACCAAGTATCCCTAGCCTCATTAACTTGGGACACGTCCTCTCCATAAGTTGTGTCCTGCTGATCTGAGTAACCTCCTTTCTTATGTCTTGGGTTTGTCTGTTAAGAATCATCTCTCCTCTCTCCTTCAGCTAGCTCATTACTGATGTGGGAGATAACCTTAATTTCAGGGGGCCTAGCCCAGTAGTAAATTGAAAAGGATACCACGCAGAAACAGGTAGTGCTGCTTGCTGTACAACTGATTTGGTATACAGGCCAGGACGTATCATTTCCTGAGCATCTTTGAGGTCCAGTTGACTGATTTTCCCATTCTTGAGTCTGGAGTTCAACAAACGCTTAGATTCTGAGAACAATGATGAAGAGGCAGTACAGGAGTCTTGAGCCTAAGATATGTCTCTGTCTGTCTGTCTGTCTGTCTGTCTGTCTGTCTGACTGTCTGACTTTTTGTCCACCTGCCTGCTATCATATTATTTCTCTTCCACAGAGGAGTGCATTGCTGACTGACTGTAAATGAGGCAGCGAGACAGTGAGTACGGCTGGTGGAGCAGATGGGAAGATGGTGTGGGGTGCACTGTGGTGGTCAGGCCTGCCTTTAGTCTCTCCCCCTATCTACATTCATGTACCACAGTGATTTTAACCTCTAAGGTGCCTCCTCTCTGTGCAGATGCTGTACTTCTGTCACTTCATTCCAAGTTGTGAACCAGCTTCGTCATCAGGCACAATGCCAATGAGAGAACTGGAAGACACTTCTCAAAGCATAATACTGCCAACTGTCCTTTGAAATACTACTACAATTTTGGAGCCCAATTTTATGCCCAAATACACACTTGCTGGCATTAATGCATTGGTGTGCTCCATATATACTGGTTCATGAGATTTGGATAAGACAATGTAAACCTAATCCAGGATCATTCTCATGGTTCACCATCCCAAGAACCATTCTGATATAATGGTGCAGAAAAAGCACAAGACAAGAGTATCAGAATCCTCTTGCTTCTTTGCTGCTACTGGAAGCCTTGCGTAGGTCCTGGCAGGCTGTTGTACATTCTTTTCATTCCTGTTGGACAGGACACTTTTAGTCCCAGCATGCACTCCACCTCATGATAGCTTAAAAGGGTGTGGGTCAGTCCAAGAGTAGCACTGTGGAGGTCTGAACTCAAGTTTAACCAGGGACAAATTCAACAGGCCCTACAGCAGCATCACCATCAGTGCAGGGGAACTGGATGGTGGTTTTACTACAGGATAGTCATCCCAAGACTTAACAGGATTCTGTGGATGTTAGGTGCTGCTGCCCAAAGCAGAAATGGCAAGGGCAGAAGCACGCTTCTCTTCTAGAACAGAAATGAGCAAAGGTGAAATTCTGCCCCTTTGTCTGATACCTGTGTATGCAATGCCCTTCATTTGACCATAAAGCATGGGGATTGTTTCCATTCAAACAGTATTCACAGTTTTACCCCAAACACCATGAAGTCCACCCTGGAAGGTTACATTCAGATGCTAGGGTTTGATCAGGGAAGTTGGGAAATGTTCTTTTGGGATCCCATCCTGCTGGGAAAAGACTCAGTGTCTGACCTGAACGGTTCTTTCTGTATACTGGTGGCATTAACTGCCCATATAAGAAAACACAGGAATCACTTCCACACTTTCCAACTTGTCAGGGCAGCATCCAGAGCAGACAAGTTCTGAAGGACACTAGATCCCATCTTACAAGCCCAAACATGTCACTTTCATGCTGGACATGAGAGTTGCAAGCAATGACCACTCTCTCCTTGGTCCCACCAGTGAACCATGAAGGTCCAAACCAAGCTGCTGTCCTCACTATGAGTTTGGCTGGACACCTTTACTCCCAGCGCTGAAACCATAAAAATGATGGCCAGTTCCAGATAATCACTTATGTGGCAATACTTCTTGCTCACCTGGGGACACCTACAATGGGTCCTCCAGCAGCAACTCCATCAGGGCTGTGGGACAGGAGGGTCCTGGTGTAAAAATAAGTCAACCAAAGATTTAGCAAGATCCTTTGGGTGCAGGGTGGTGGTAACCACCACATATAGTTTAGGGCAGAATCATTCTGCTTTTCTAGGCCATCTGTCAATTAGCTGTGGTCACAAACCCTCCATTTAACCCCAACTCCTGGGGACTGTGCACATTCTGACTATATTTGGAGTATTTCCCCTACCGCCATGATGAGAGGACCACTATGTAGTACATTGTGAAGCATGGTCTGGGCCAGTGTATGTGAGGCAAATGTTGTTGTATCCCCATCACTGGGGTAAGATTCTCATGGTTGGGCCTATGGCTGACTTCAATGGCACTGTCTCTATAATTGTGACAGCAGCTAACTAACTGGTTAGGCACAAAACACACAAGTGTTTCCTGCTTCTTCTCCCCTTGTCAGGATAACAGTCAGAGTTGGCACTGCTCAGAAGAACCCTGGTTTCCCACCTCAGAGACTGCTGTATGTCACTTTCATACTGCTTGTTAGATGTCCAGTCTATGACCACCTCCTCTAGGCCACCTCCATTGAATCAGAGAGGTCCAAACACAGGTTATCCAATCGCAGTCAGATCTGGGTCAGACTCAAGGGTGAGACACTTTTCATGGCAGTTGCGGTGAGGATAGTGTCTGATCAGGAGGGCTCCACACTTTGAGATGAATATGAGGTTTGGTAGCCACAACCCCACGTGCTGGCTACTGACACAGAAGTTTCAGCTAGAATCCCTTGCTCTTGTGATAGGCTTTGTGCAGCTAGCGTTTCTTCTAATGCTGCACACAAAAAAGGCAGCTTTCTGTTGTCCCTTGCTCCTCTTGAGTATTTCATGTCAAATTAACTGAATACAGCAATACTTTGTGCTTCCTTCTGTGGTGATTACAGACATGAGCTTCCTATTTCCACTATAACCATGTTCCTCAAGTTACCAGCATACACTGTGTATTTATATATACTCTTCTAATTCCAGTGATGACACCGTAACCATAACCTAATCCTGCGTGGACACGTGTTAGAATGAAATGAGAAGAGGAATAGGAGCAAGCTATGCCTGGGAGATCACAATTACATGCATCCCTGATAACTACTAGAGCTTGCATAAGAAGGTTCATCCTGTGTAAAATCTCAGGAGAAATCACAGTCACCAGTTTCGTATCCCAAACACTTGGCAAAGCTCTACTTCTGTTGTGATCAAAATGAGTTTTGCTTTGTTGTTCAATGTTGATGCTACCTTGATGACTTTTTTTCCTATAGAGAGCCTCAAACTGTGGTCAGCACTGGGTACAGCTCTACTTTATGAAAAATGGTACAGCAGACTGCAGAACCAATACACCAGCTTTGGGTGTATTCATAGAGTCCTTTTTCAGTGAATCTGAATCTCAGTATGTGGTAGCAGGTGCTCAGCTTGTGCTGTGTGACTCTTGTTCCTGTACATCTACTAGTTCCTGACGTTCTCTATAGAATCAACTACATTCTCTCCAGAAGACCTGCCCTAATGCCATCCTTGGTTGTTTCCTCCATACTCTTCTCTCTGATCCTGCTCTAGTTCTAGGATAGTTCTAATTTAAGCATCAAGATTGTAGGCACAGCCTCCATTCTTTAGGGCCAGGAAAGGACAGGAAAGGTCCACCACTTGTGGCTGCTTCTGAGGAATGGACCTTTCTGTCCCTCTACCACAACCATTAATTAGAACCTAAGACAACACATGGTAGTATCCAGAGGGTGGGCTTCAAAAATGTAGCTATATAGACTGTTGAGAATGACTCTTGAGTGTTATACAAGAAAGGAGAAAGGAGGTATTTATGAACTTTTTCCACTTTCCACTCTTTTACAATGTGAGTATTGTTTGATTGATGCCAAATATGAGCAAAGGCCAATACCAAATTTCCTGATGTCTTGTGTACTTCCCAGTCTTAAGAATTGTGACAAATAAAGATCAAATCTTAAGCTAATACAGTTGGTGTTGCTTTTGCTAGAGTATCACAAACTGAGAAGGGTGTGACTGACATGTTACTTGGAGAGAGCAGCAAGCAGTCGATTTTTACGTTCTCCTAAGTAGCAGAGAATGGAACTTCTAACATGAAAAAGCACAAACCACATCAGCCCCTATCCACTATTCTGGGCTCCGCTCATCTGCAAAGTAATCTGTGTGTCTCACACCCCTGGCCCTACCTGCTTAATATCTTGGAGTAGGTGACAAAATTAGAATACATGAATTCCTAGCAGACACTCTGGTAACATTCAAATCATAGAAACAATTCTGTCTCCTTACCCTTCTTTCGGCTATGACACTTTCTGACACTTGAATTGGAACATCTTGATAGCATGCAATCTGATCTGAAAGAATGTTTTTGAACTCCGTATGTTTAATTACCACCCAGACATTTTATCTTAACCAATAATAGGAAGGACTGGTTTTCAATCTCCTTTCTGTGGTTATTTCCTTCCAGTTTTCCTTCTTATCATTCTATATTTTAAGTGAATAAGAATTTAACATGGGACTATTTCCTTGATTATTAAACTTGTTCCTGGATGGCATCACAAGTGTTGTTTGAATTGTAGAGTGTGATTGAACACAGAAGCGGGAGTCATATGCTCACCGAGCAGTAGGAGTCACAAATTCAGGTAGCTGTAAAAGGTGAGGTCCATGTTTGAATGTTTCTGAGAGAGCAAGACCCTGCTCACATCTTGTTTCTAACACACAATAAATATCTGATTTTTCTCTTATTACCTTGGCAAAGTGATTTCATTTTGAGTTATGATAGTGTAGCAATTTGTTGTAGTAGTTTTATGACTTGCAAGATTCTTAGGCCACCCACATGATGTTGACAATAACAAAGGTATAGTTGGAAAAATTGCACTTTGGAGTCCAAGGGATGTCACCGCCAAGGAACTTTTGACACAGGGAATCAGTGACCCAAGACAGTCACAAGGAACCCCAGAGTGTGGGAATCAAGAGAACCCAACAGTATGGGAGGAGGTAGCATGGTGCAGGAAATCCCAGCTCTGTCAAGTGGAACTGGTGCACGAGAGGAGGTGCATCTAGGGATACAGATAGAGACTGAGTGTCCTAGAAATCTCAAGTCCTGGCAGTCCTTGGCTAAGGGCCTAGGGAGGGACATAGTATGTGGTATTGACTCTGGGCTTCTCAATGCCTACTTGACAATCCATTGACCCAGAGAGATAGGCTAAGTGTTTGGCGCTGTGAAATGTTTCTGGCCTGTTCATCATGTCACTAGAGCCTCATGAGTGGTGATTCTGAGAGTCATGGAAACAGAGCTTGTCACTCTGGCAAAAGGTGGGTCATTAACATGCTATTCCCAAATTCCCCTGTATCATTCAGATCCATTACCTGGCAACCTGCAACAGGGTAATAAGCAGTCCAAGGTCATGGTGTCCATGGATGTTCTCAGCACTGTGTTCCTATGGTCCTCCCAATCACTCTACTTCTCACTCCTTCATCACTGGTCAGGTTAATAATGCTCTTTGTATCTTTCCTGATGTGAGTGAAACCTGCTCATCAGATGTTTTCTCCTGAAAATCAAGTGAAGTCCAGTATGCATTTGAGATGTAAAATCTGAATCTCCTGGGAACCTCTACCTATCCTGCGGTAAATTAGATCTGCCCAATCCTGACTTTGGAGTTCAGGTCATCAGTGTCTCCCCATAGGGACCCTCCAGTAGGCTGATCCTAGGTCCTCCAGATTTCTCCAGGTTTCTGGTTCCAGAAAATCCCTGGAGGGAACTGATACAGCTGCAGTAGCTGCTATGGAGAGGCAGAGGATAACCTTCTGGTTTTAACACTGGTTGGTCCCCTGACAAGCTTAGCCTCAATGTCTGT